CTATTCAACTCGCGAATCGAACGATTTTAACAACTATGGGCACAGGGGCAAGACAATTATTATGCCACACAGAATATAGACCATGAATATCGACTGGGGGCAATGAAACAATGGAGGAATTTAATCTCTTCCATTGGTAATGATTATTCCAATAGATGCCACCATCATTCACTTGGTCGGCAAGATATTGATGATCATATGCAGAGTTTGGGATTGACATCACATGAAGGATACATGCCTTATGGACATCATCAAAATAGTGGTATAGAATATAGCCATACACATGGATTATATGGATATGGTATCCCTTCGTAACTTGCGAGGTTTACTAGTACTAATAGTGAAGGGCATTATACCCATCGTCATACGCATCTTGAGAGATCTACTAGTACTAGTACTGGTGGTTTTTATGATCGTGTTCTAAGGAGATATCATGATGGATCTTCTAATACGACATCGGATAGTGTCAACTTTTATGGATATGATCAGTCTTTTGCTAGTAGTAGCCGTGAATATCTTGGTTTTGGATACTATCAGCATGGGAACTAACCAGTATAACCTCCACAGTCACATTATTCTGATTATGGGTCATCTAGCCAATCAACTCAACCAACTCAATCAGGCCCGTATTCACACTTGTACTCTTATCCTTATGGTGGATATTATCCTAATTTGTATTATCCTAGAGACAATAATGATGATTTTGAGTCTCATTGTATGTGACAATGATTCTGGCTCAATATGTTTCTAAATGCCTACATTGAATATTGATAATGATAATTATGTTTGATAGCGATTTTATGTTTCATTTTAATTATGTTTAATGTGTTTTTAGATGTATTGTGGACATATAATGCATGAATGGTGATGTTTATATTTTTAGAATTTTTTTAGAATTTTTTTAAATTTTTTTGGAGCTTCTATCTTGCGTTTTGAGAGTATTGACCGATACCACATTGTGACTGATGTGTATTGGCACCCTTCGACTCGATGGCTGATACTACGACTTTGAACCATACTCCCTCAACTCCATTAGAGCTGTCCCTTTGGCGTATCACTTGGTTATGAAGTTTTCAATAGAAAATAGAGTCGGGGTGGTGAGAGACGATCAACGCATCGCCAGAAAATGTTATGTAGTGTCAATGAGGTAGAGGGAGGTGGAGTCCGTTCAATTGGAAGACCTAAACATGAGAGACGAGATCGAGACCCAACCTACATCGTCAGAGTAGCTAGAGCCGGTGTAAGTTGACGAATACCTCAGGCACGTGGTCTTGATAGGCTCAATATTACTCTTGGATATCAAAGATAGACTTATTCTCTTCTTGAAGGAGAATGCTGATGTTTTTTCCTAGTCATAAGAAGATATGGAAGGAATCGACCCCGGGGTAATAGTGCACCGGCTCAGCGTCGATCCTAATTGCAAGCCCATTGGATAGAAAAGAAGGAGCTTCGCCCTAGAAAGACATAAAACAATCAACGAAGAAGTGGCTAAACTAATGCAAGCTACGACCATTAGAGAGGTTGACTACCCGACTTGGCTAGCCAAGGATAGTTTCCCTCTACCCAGGATTGATCTTATAGTCATAATTCCACTAACTAATCATTTCAAGTTGAGCAAGAATTCTTGTCCCTCATTGAAGAAGGAGATAGAAGATATGACAACGGTTCCGTACTCTTCAGTAGTTGGGAATCTAATGTACGCAATGTTGTTTAGAAGGGTAGACATTGCCCATGCAGTGGGCATGGTAAGCGGGTTTCTTTCCAATCCAAGGAAAAACATTGAGAGGCTGTCAAGTGGATTCTCAAATATCTTAAGGGTACATCAAAGATATGCTTGTGTTACGAGGGAGTTGAACTAGTTTTGGAAGGTTATACAGATTCAAATATGGCGGAGATCTTGATGGTAGATAATCTACATCAGAATTTCTCTACACTTTTGCAGGGGGAGCTATGTCATGGCAGTCAAGGCTGCAGAAGTGTATAGCTTTATCCACGGCATAGGCAGAATATATTGCTGCAGCAGAAGCTGGTAAAGAAATGTTGTGGTTGAAGCGATTTTCTCCAAGAATTGCATATTAAGTAGAAGGAATATGATGTGCGTTGTGATAGTCAGAGTACTCTAGATTTGAGTAAGAACTCAATGTATCATTCCCAGACGAAGCATATTGATCTTCCCTATCACTAGATATGCAAGGTGATGGAGCAACAATTGTTGAAACAAGTAAAGATCCATACAAAGGAGAGTCCAATAGACATGTTGACAAAGGTGGTTACTCGGGAGAAGCTTGAGTTATGTAGAGACATAGCTGAAATGAATGTCTAATTACATTCTTTTTTTAAGGGTTTTGGAGGGGGAGAATTGAAGGATCCGGAAGCCTCATCCAAATTTTGTCGACAGAATAGTTGTCGCTGAAAATTTTATCGCCAGAGTTTTCGTCAGCTAGAATTTTTGGGAGGCCTCCATTTTTTTTTGGCTAAAAAGTCCCTATAAATAAAGAGTTTAATGAAAGTCAAAATCATTCCAAAAATTAGTGAGGAAAAAACATAGAGAGAGATCCCTTAGAGGTCTTGAGAGTTTTCTTGTGTGAAATATTTTTGTATTTATTTCTAGAGAGAAATAAAGAATTCCTCTTTGTTTATATTGTGTTAGTTGTGATTTTCTGGCTCTAGGTAACCAACAGGAGATATGTGTAGATCTTTCATCATGATTACATATTTGGAGTGAAAGACACTATCTAGAGGGGTTGAATAAGTTTTTAAACTTTTCGCTTAAACAATTACAAATTAAAACCTATTACTACAGTAATTACCTATCTTCTCAAGGTTTAATCAATTAATGGTGAGAACCCACATGAACTTATGAAGATTAGTGCATTAATTTTAGCAAATAATCACTTAACACTCAATCTCCCATGGGGATCTCAATCCAATGACCCAAACCCTTGGTATGCTATTATGGATGATGAAGGTATTCAATAAAAAATACAATGGAATACATAGTGTGCGTGTGTGCATCAAATTGCAAGTGTGTATGAAAATACGATAAAGAACACAAACAATTTGTTAACGCGGAAATCTTTCTCGAAAAAACTGCGGGAAACCTTTTTAGTTTACCAAAACTTAATTCACTACCCTGAAGTCAGTTCACAAGTACTGGAGTCTTATATCTCAACCGGTTAGATGTTCCATTTCTTTAATAAGTCTCTCTACTAAAATGCCTCTCCGACGCCTTGTGTATCTTCACTTGGAGTCATACTACAATAGATTCTATAGGTCTCGAGCAATCTTGGGAACACCAACAATCCTCGACATGCACATTCTATTCAGTTTAGTCTCCAATCAATCAAGATCTTCTTCACAAAGATGTGATTTGTGAGTTTGAATAAGAATCAACAGATGGTAGCTTTGGATTTAGGAATCTAGGGTTGTGGTGTGATTTTTAAGGTGTAAGAGACAAGATTTCGGCTCACAAAAGAGATACCCTAGGTTGGAAAAGACACCCCCTATTCATAAGCTCGGAATAAGGGTAGTCTTGGTCAACAATAAATTCAAATTCGCGAACAATTTCAAATTCAAGGGTGGTCCCTACTGCTCCTCTATTTGGCCTTTTCTCCTTTTCTTTCCTAAGTCATAAAGAGCCTACTTTAGTGAAGGCTAGCAAGCATAGGTTGGTCCTTACTAATTTTTTAAGCGTAAAATCAAGCCAAAAATTTGTCCTCTTGAGCACTAAAGGGCATTGCTCAAGAGGAGTATGAAAATGGCTTAAACTATGTTTTTAAAACACAAAATGGTCAATTCTATGTTAACAATAATTCTCCTAAGCCTATTAAATCAAGAAATTATCTTAGGTCTCTAGGCCATTACCTTGTCTGAAGCATGATTTGATGCACGATCTCCCCCCTTCAACGACGCTTTCGAATCTTCATCGTTGATGATCATGGAATAGGTTAAGATTTACATGAACTCCAATAAATAGTGTATTTAATGCAGTCACTTATTTCACAGGCAATAAAGGCAGTTGTGCTCTTGAAGTCCCCTTGTTGGAAGTGGCCTAGGGTTGGGATTGGAGTGAAAATATTTTTTTGGTTGGTTTAATTTGATATGACTCTTTATAGGCTATAAAATTTTAAAAAGTTTGATGACCTCTCCGTAGTGTTTGCTAAAGCATTAGGGTAATGCTATTGGGACCTGATTTTTGGACCTAAATAAGTGACCTGATGATATGGCAACTGAGGTGTCCTTACCAACTCAGCAACTTAAGCCACCTAATTTCTTAAAAAAAAAAACTTAAAAAATCAACAACTTAAAAAAATCTAATTTCATCAAAAAATCAGCCATCTTTTCACATTCTCTCTCCCCGAACTAGCACGCTTTCTTCCCCAAAGCCCTAAAATTTCTCTTCTTCTTGAACTTCGACAAAGTACCCTAATCGCTAATCTTCAATTGACGCTGGCAGCATGAATGACGAGCTTGTTCACCGAAAAAAACCCACCTCAACGACAAGCCACAAGCAGTAAACCGATCCATTCTTCATCTTCCTTAGTAAACATCATTTGAGATCAATGCCGATGTTCTTCCTTCTCATCTTCCAGTTGGCTACATCTTTTCACTGAAGTCATAGCCGTTCTCTTCCCTCTTCATCTCTTTGTCGAAGTACACATTTGTCCCGAACATCTGTTGAAATTGACTCCACCATAGTCGGCTCTACAGTACGTGAATTTCATTTTATTTATTTTTTGGGTAGTAATTGGAGGTTGATTCAATTTGTTTTTTATTGTTATATTTCTAGTTTTTTATTTTGATATATATATATATATATATATATATACAAACAAAGGTTTGATTTATAGATTTGTCAAACACAAAAAAAATTCATTTCTTTTTGCTGGTTATTTTGAAGCATAAATAAATTTCTTTTGTTATGGTGTTCAGGCATATTTTGTGTTAGACAAAATTCTGGTTAATCAACAAAGCACGTGTTGCAGTAAAATTTTATTAGAATGGAAGGTGAATCTTCAAGTAGTTTGCAGTTGATAGAAGAAAATGTTGTGATTGAAATGATGAATATAGTTGATGTAGACAAGCCTAAGGTTGGGATGATGTTCGAAAGTTATAAACAGTTGCTTGAGTATTACACAGGTTATGGTAAGCGGTTAGGGTTCTCAGTGAAGATAAGATCACCAACAAAAGGGGATGATTGAAAGTTGAAATACATGACTATTACTTGTTCTCGATTAGGCAAGTCAAAGTCCACTTCCAAAAATCCATTGAAGCCACATCCAAGCATAAAAGTAGGTTGTAAGGCTAAGGTCCTAGCAATTTTGTGTGCAGATGGAAAGTGGCAACTGAACACTGGCATGCTTGATCATAACCATGAGTTGAGTCCAAGCAAAGCCTAATTTTTTTGATGCAATCGAGTGATGAGACCCCATGTGAAAAGGAAGCTTGAATTGAACGATTGAGCAGGAATTAGACTAAATAAAAATTTCACCTCGTTTGTGGTTTAAACTGGGGGGCATGAAAATATCTCCTTTTTAGAGAAGAATTGTAGAAACTATATTGAGAAAATAAAGCGGTTACGGCTCGGGGAATGAGATGCCTCTGCAATACAAAAATATTTCTTAAAGATGCAAGCTAAAAAATGCAAATTTCTTTTATACAATGAATTTTGATGATGAGGGTCGATTAAGGAATGTGTTTTGGGCTAATGCGAGGAGTAGGGCAACATATCAAGAATTTGGTGATGTTATTACATTTGATACTACATATTTGACATGTCATTTGCTCCATTTGTCAGTTTCAATCATCATGGGCAATCGACTTTGCTGGGATGTGGTTTGATCTCCAGTGAAGACTTAGAAACATTTACTTGGTTGTTTTAATCATGGCTTGCATGCATGTCTTGGAAAGCTTCACATGCCATAATTACCGATCAAGACAAAGTCATGCAAAAAGCAGTTGAGATTTTTTTCCCTAGTGCTAAACATCAATGGTGCTTATGGCACATCATGAAGAAATTGCCTGAAAAGTTGAGAGGTTATGAGTAGTATGAATCCATCAAATATTTCTTGTAGAGGGCCGTTTATGATTCATTAAGTTGTACTAAATTTGAAGAAAGTTGGAATGGAATGATTGAAAAGTACATGCTACATAATAATGATTGGTTGAGTGGGTTGTACAATGAGAGGCGTTGTTGGGTGCCAATCTTTGTAAAAACTATTTTTTGGGCAGGAATGTCTACCACACAACGAAGTGAGAGTAAGAACTCATTCTTTGATGGCTATGTCAACTCTAAGACTACCTTGAAACAATTTGTTGAACAATATGAAAATGCATTGAAAAGTAAGGTGAAAAAGGAGAACTAGGAAGAATGTAAGTCTTTATCTTTGCAAGTCCCTTGTATAACCCCTTATGACATGGAGAAACAAGTTCAAAGAGTTTACACTATCTCAAAATTTAAGGAGCTCCAAAGTGAATTGATAGGGAAGATGTATTGTGATGTGACTTCGGTCAAAGTGGAAGGTTTGATTTCTGAATACAACGTATCTGAGGATATCATGATTAAGGAGAAAAGAAAGAGTGCAAATTTCAAGGTTTGGTTCAATGAAAAAGATTCTGAAGTGAAGTGCAATTGTTGCTTATTTGAGTATAGAGGAATGATATGCAAGCATGTAGTGGCAGTGTTAGTTCGTAGAAAGATTTACTCCCTTCCTAATAAGTACATCATACAGAGATGGAGGAAAGATGTGAAAACATGTCACACAAAGATTAAAATTAGTTATAACTGTTTGAGTGTCACACCTAAAGCAGAATGATTTGATAGAATGTGCAATGCTTGTAGCGAGTTGGCAAACTTGGCTGCTGAATATGAAGATAAGTGCACGTTTGTGATGGAGTGTATACATGATCTAAAGGAGAAACTACAACAAAACAAAGGAGGTAGTGGAAGATATCAACCAAGTCCCAGCTCGATTTTTGGTAGAAACTCCGATGATGTAAATGATATATCAAAGGATAGGAATATACTTACTCCATTAGCAGTTAGAAGTAAAGGCCGTCCACCATTCAAAATGAAACAATCAAAAGTTGAGCAAGTTACAAGGAAAAAAAAAGAAAACGAAAAAGAAGATGTTATCGCATGGAAATCATACCACTAAAGGAGAAGAGGTGTGAATAAAATGACAATTTTTAAAATAATAATGTAGTAATTATTTCCTTTTGTTATTTTATTTTTTGTAGGATTGCCAACCAAGTGAAAGTGATGCCATTGGGCTTGTTGATGGTCAACCCACGAGTGAAGCGATTGATGTACGTGGAACACAAGAAATTATTGGGATGATAGTATGACATCAACATCCAAATTATTGTTATAATATTTGGATGTTATTTATTATTTGGTCTATCTTAATTTTTTAACTCTAAACATGTAGGATTTACGGATTACACAAACGGTTAATGTTGGCATAAGTGATGGTCAATACTCCTCTTTGCAATTTTATAATGTGAGTTATGAAAATTGTATATGTTATTATCTTGTTGACATCGTAGCTTTTTTTTATTGTATTAATCTACTATTTTTTTCTGTGATAGAACACTATGGCCTTGCTATGGCGGGTTACTCAAAGAGGTCTTGGAAATCATTTCATGGTTAGCAATCTAAGATTCATTATAGAAGTTCTTTTTTTTAATGGTTGTACTATAATTTCAATTTATGAAATTTCTTATTCTTGTTTACCATAAGCAATATCTTTCTTGGGATGGTGAATAGGGTATGCACCCTGTGCCTCATTCTAGCTCCATGCTTTGTTCTAGCTCTAAAGAAATGGTAGACATTTTGGAGTTGCCAATTACGTATTCAACGTCAACGTCTACTGGCAAGTATATTTGATGAGTTGGAGAGAAATTTAGGAATTTTTGTTTTTTTATTCTTAAACTTGAATCAACGATTCATTGTACTGTTTTTTCCTATAGCAGGTACAAAAAAGAGGAAGATCGTCTAGTTTTGCAAGAGGAAGATTATAGTGTTTTGTGTCCACTTTGTGTTACCCAGTCCATCTGACGTGATTTCTATTGCTATGGTGGCGTTGATTTGCATTGTTATACAAGAAAAAGAGTACCTAATTGTGCAAGAGAAGACTATAATTAGTATTTTGTGTCTATTTGAGTTACCAATGTTGTATTTTTCTAATACTTTTGGATACTTTGGATATTTGTAATACAATTTAAGGGTTGAATTTCGCCTTTTAATAATACATTATTGTTGTTTGAATATTTGCTTAATTTTATCACTTGGTTAATTTTCTCATCAAAATCTAACTATATGACATGCGCCTATTTTACACAGGCAATGATCCTGGTTTGTGTGGTTGTTCCTTGGATTTGTGTGGTTGTATGAATGCTACCAATTTGTGTGGTTCCTGAATGTCTAGCTTTACTGGATGGACTTAATTTGATTCTGCAATATGGCCTTGCAGAGTATCAGATTCTTTTTGAATCTGATTCTCAAATACTTGTATAGATAGTGTTAGAGAAGGCAGAGATACCTTGGAGGTTGCAGGCTGTTACAGAGGGATCAAAATTTACTGCCTACTGCCAGATTAAAAAGGTTTGTTAACAGAGGTATTTTACCTCTTTAATGACTCATGATTGATGCTTAGTAGGTTTTTGCAGGCATTGTAGCTGAACAGAGGTTTTTAGAGGTTGAACTGTTTGCAGCAGCTGTATAGGAGGAATTTTATACTGTTTTGTCTAGTTTTTGGCATCAGAATTTTGTATCAGAATCTATTTTGTGCTTTAACAGTTTTTTCTGTTTTTGTTAAAATAGTTACTATTTTTTGTGAAAATAGTTTATGTTTTTTGATTCTTGTAAATTTGAGATTTATTCAATAAAATTCTCATTTCATAAAAATAATAATAATAAAAAAAAATGGTTTGTGTGGTTGTTCCTTCCATTTTTCACAGGCAATGATCCTTCCTCCTCAATTTTGTTGTGCATCGTGGTTGTTCCTTGTATACTTAAAGGGTTGCTTCTTCTTCTTTTTTGGGTAAAGAATTTTTTTATTGATATGAATCAAAGATTACAAGAATCAAACTAAAACAAAACATTACAACAACCAAGAAATCAAAGAATACAAAACTCAAATGCATCAAGGCATTTTACGAACATGTAAGCCATTTCTTGGCTTTAATCCTTCAAAATCTCTAGCTGCCACCAACATCAATCCCAGACTACTCTTAACAAACCAATGCAATAAGCCTATACAACGCATCCCACACCAAACCATTTGAAAAGAGTTAGCCACCATCATCAAAAACCAAATCAGTTTTGGATCTCACCATAGGCAGACCTATGTAGCTACTGCCAAGGTTTTGTTCAATATGATAATCCATCAACTCTCCATCAATTATAATAATTTACAATGGTTTTTTTTCCCAAACAGTAACCCATCAATTCTAAAACAATTTACAATAGATTTTACAATGTCCAAAACAACATAGTGCTACATAGACAATTCGTCGAATAGTTTGTAAGCGAAACCAATCTTGAGACTCCTACACAGACCTTACCTCCCAAAATACCCAATTTCAAGCATAGAAGCCATGATCCCCATTTTCATCAACAAATCAGCTCAAAAAAAATATTCATTTGTAATTCATAAGGTTGTTGATATGGTGCTAGACAATGGGTTGGTTGACTGCTTGTGGCTCGTTGGTTTACTGGACAATGGGTTGGTTTACGAGGAGGAAGAACACTGACATTGATATCAGATGATGATTACTAAGGAAGATGAAGAATGGATCAGTTTACTGCTTGTGGCTCGTCGTTCAAGTGGGTTTTTTTCGGTGAAGAAGCTCGTCGTTCATGCTATTGGCGTCGATTGAAGATTAGCGATTGGGGTACTGTGTCGAAGTTCAAGAGGAGGAGAAATTTTAGGCCTTTGGGGAAGAAAGTGTGCTGGTTCGGGGGGAGAGAATGTGAAAAGAGGGCTAATTTTTTGATGAAATCAAATTTTTTTAAGTTGTTGATTTTTTAAGTTTTTTTTTAAGAAATTAGGTGGCTTAAGTTGCTGAGTTGGTAAGGACACCTCAGTTATGACATCATCAGATCACTTATTTAGGTCCAAAAATCAGGTCCCAATAGCATTACCCAAAGCATTATTAGTTTCTTTAACAAAAGTAAAATAGTGGATTGTTACCTCCCTGTGCGGGTCCCAAAAATAAATAAATAAATAGAATTCAAAGTTGCATTTGGAAGGTCATCACCCTAATGTAATTCAATCATGAGCAGACACTTCTCATGATTGTTTTCCATCTTTTGGCTAGGTTGGCCCAGGTACGTGACTACCTTTCTTATTTTCATAATTATTTCCCAGTGCCACATGACATTGTAGGAATTAATTAATTTACTTATTTATTTTGGTTTTGCTTTTTCTTCACCCTCTCCTGCCATCCTAATTGATTTGGCTATTTGATCAGTATGCTTATAATTCTACAAAGTCCAAGAATAAGTTTCACCTTTGGGGATGCCATTGTAGTCATGGTGGTTCTTTACTCTTTGCTTTATGTGCACAGGTAACACAACTCAATGTTCACGTGAAAAAAAAATGTTCACATATAGTGGCTAGCTCATTTTTCTTATTTTCACTTTATTGGGTTTGTTCTGACTCTTCGATTTGTGTGAATTGTAGTGCTCTCTTTGCCATGTTAATGTTGGACCAAAACAGTTTTTTAAGTGTAAAAATTAAATTTTTGATCGACTTTGAGCCTAAATTAAAGTGAGACCTGTTTGTTGTTTCGAGTAAAATTTCGTGGGTTCATATTCTAATCCGTTAGAAGAATAATGTAGTATATTCACTTGCTCAAATCGAGTAAAAAATGAATGAGAAAATAGGCTCCAAAGTAACCTTCATGAAATGTGGAAATAAAGGTTGTGCAATGTGGGATTTGACACCAATCCCACATTGGTTGAGGAAGAAATTCAACATGAGCATATATAGGCCAAGTTTGTTCTATGGGATTGGACCCCAAGGGGTACCATAGTTTTATGAGTAGAGCGAGCACCTACATGCCTTCAATTCGACCACACGTGCGTCGCCCTCCTCACCACGACCCAATCTGGTTGGGCTCGGGTGTGGGTTAAACCAAGTCCTAATTTTTTGAAAAAAATTCGTTTAATTAATGGGCGTGAATTTCTTAACCCAAAATTTAATTTTTAGTACTCGTTGGATCGCACTGGTTTGGATTTTTGCCTCCCTCCAGTCTGAAATTTAGTTGTGACTGTTCATAGAGAACCACCATGGCTTGCCTCCCTCAAGTCGGATTTTTGCCTCCCTCTTGTTTAGATCGCACTAGTGTCTTCTGACTTGCACTTATCTTCCTGGTTGTGTCTTTTAGGATGGTGGTTGTTCGAAAAGTCACCATGATGTCTATAAATACCCATAGACACATTACCATTCAACATTCATTACAATCATCAGTCATATTTAGAGTTAAGCCAGACATTAGAGTATTGCATTTTGGCATTAAGGAGTCTGCATTTGGAGAGTACACAACACAATTTTTGGTTCGCTAGACGAGTAGATTGGAAAACTACTTTTGCTCGTGTAAGATCATTGTGTCCTAGGAGGCTGACGCTCGATATTCCATAAGAATCGTGTGTGGAGGCAAAATCTATCTTAAGAAAATAGTGTCAAAAACTAACCTTGATCTACATCAACTTCAATAACAGTTCCTGTTCTACAATCGGATTAGTCTTTCTTTTGGATTGACAGACAGTTACATCTAACTATTTTCTGTTATTGTTTCATAAGACTACTGTAACTCTTTCGTTTCTGTGTTCTTTACTGTAGCTGTTTCGTTAGAGTAACTTGTTACATGATTTAAATCAGAAATTTTAATAAGTGATTTTACAATATTTTGGAATACCACAAACAACATTTAAAAGTATGATTGAAATCAAATCATCCTTTTTTTAGGTACTTACTAGGTTTTCTGTATAAGATGCTCTCACATGTTTACTTTTGTGATTCATTGCTTCCTCTTTTCAGGTTATGTATGACTTCGTGATGCGTCTTGAGAGCTTGCCAAAATCATATCAAGATTTTATTCAGAAAATTGGGCTAGTTGCACAACTTGTATACAATGCTGTGAAGGACTGTTGTAGAGGTTCCCCTGTAGATGTTGCCTCATTGTCGGCCTACTTAGTCAACAGAAGGAACTTCAACTCCGTGAAGTTGGAAGAATTTCCTTCTATTATTCCTTGTTCCATAATTCACCCAAACACGAAGTCATGTTTAGCTCACAATGCAAATGCAGCATCAACTACTTTTAGGAAAACATTTCCCCTTTACTTCTCTTTGAATTTTGTACCATTCGTTGTGTTGTGTCTACAAAAGGTACACCATTTTCTGATGGTGGTTTCTCTTTACTATAGACCCTTTTCTTGCATTGTAATGCAAGAACATTTCTTGATAAAGCTCTATTTCTTATTTCGTTTATTATGGGCAAGCAGTGTAATTTTCTTGAACTAATTATTCTGATATTTGATTCCATTTTTAAGTTCATGGACGCTCATGTTTGCACCTGTTGGAATGCTCTTACAGGAGCTGTTCGCTCGACGACATTTTTGTCTGCTTTTGTTGTAATTTTTCAGATAGCTGTTTGCTTATTGTTGTTTTTGTTTGCCTCTTCTATGAGGTTCCATAACTTTTTTTAGTAACTTCTCTTTGACGATGCAAGGGAGTCATATGTTCACACCAGAAAGTGGCATCAAAAGACCACAAGCTTGTCTATGGGGCTGCAGGCGGATTATTTGCCCTTTCTGTACTGTTGGAGAAGAAAGTTAGACGTGGAGAACTTGCCCTATATGTCCTTCCACAAGCTGGAGATTCTTTGTGGTATATTCTAGTGAACCACCATCTGCTTCCAAATATCAAGAATGTTGAGGTATTGCATTCATTACTGCTTTGTGTTTCCAGGGAAGTCACTTTAGATGAATAAATGCATCATTTTTTGCATCCCACAGATTCTGATAGTATATGAGATGCTAGTTATCACAAGGGAAGTATATCAGATGCAATTTTGATTATGATTAAATGATGCAATGAAATAGTCGCACTGTTTTGTGCAAGTTTTTCATTAGGATTCTTTTCATTGAATTTAAACTCAGCACAATATTGAAAGATTTTCTTCTAGAGCATGGCAAGCACCATTCAAATAGAAGTTCCAATGGTTTGTATTATGTTGATGCCCGATTGTCGCTTCTGAACTTTTACAGGTTGCTATGTTCTGTGCTTGCATGGGCGAAATAATGTACAATTTGGAACATGAACCAGACACCATGGCTCCTTTTCTCAGGGGTTTGATTCCCTGTTTCCTTGCCAGCAGAATTAGCAGCCCAGCCCCTTTGTCAACTTGAAATGCTTCTTACACATATTTACAAACTCTAGATGCCATAAAGAAACCAAAATTGTTGGAGAATCGAGGGGCTGAAACAATGGCTTGAGAGAAGTATAATCTTGAATCCATTCCTGGGCTCTGAGCTTCTCTTTTTTAAATTGTTCATACACTACAACTATGATGGAAATTTAAGCTCGACCATTCTTTTTTGATTCATTGCATTATAATTCATCTCGAGAGCAGTAGAATTTTGCTCAGTATTATAGAAAGAACCCTAAGGAGGGGATTGTTGGTGTTTCATATCCTTTCTCTTCAAATAAAGGAGTATTGAGTATTCATTCTCATTTGAAACTTCTTGAGATTTTGTGTTCATGTAATTTGTCATTCTTTGAACGAAAGTTGAAATTTAGATGGTTTTAGAAGGGGATTATATCTTTTTGTAAATTTATATATACAACATGCATGTGTTGGGCTTTTGTGAAGTCTAATTTTTTTGTTGATCCGGATGATGATCCAATCCAAAATAATGTTTGTGTGATTTTTAACAGGGAATATTTTGAGGCTTAGTCCATGGAGTGGAGGTTTGGGTTGATAGGCCTAAGTTGTAGCGCTCATGGACAAGCCTTGTGGGGGTTTGGGGCAACACCCACGGGAAAATTTCTTTTGGCCCGCTCTGTAGCCCGGTGCAGGACATATAAAACTTGTTGTTTTGGGTGATTAGGGTTTGATTGACTCTATATGACCACTCTGTATTCCTTCTTGATAATAGTGAAATTCTTGCAGCTTCGTGGACGTAGGCAAATTGCCAAACCACGTAAATATTGTCTTGTGCGTGTAATTATTTTTTTTTGACGTGTGTTTTCTTTATTTTTGTTTCTCATAGGTTTGAAAATTTTGTGTAAATTTCCTAACAACTGGTATTAGAGCCTGGAAAGGGTTGAGTGGGAGCAATGGCAGAGGAAGCAGGAAAGGCATCTGGAATAGAAAAGTTTGATGGGACAGACTTTGGATTCTAGAGGATGCAAATCAAGGATTATATTTATGGGAAAAAGTTGCATCTGTCGCTTCTAAACCTGTGACTATGAAGGATGAGGATTGAACTCTTCTTGACAGACAAGTATAGGGAGTTATCAGGTTAACTCTATCTAGATTTGTTGTGCACAATGTTATAAAGGAGAAGACTACAACAGATCTGATGAAGGCTTTGTCTGGTATGTATGAAAAGTCGTTAGCAAACAACAAGGTGCATCTGATGAAGAAGTTATTCAATTTGAAGATGGCAGAGAACACATCAGTAGCACAACATCTGAACGAGTTTAACACTATCACAAATCAATTGTCGTCCGTAGAAATTTATTTTGATAATGAGATTCGTGCACTGAGCGTTTTAGCTTCCTTGCCAAATAGTTGGGAGGCAATAAGGATGGCAGTAAGCAATTCTACAGGAAAGGAAAAATTGAAGTATAATGGCATACGAGATTTAATTATGGCTGAGGAGATTTACAGAAAAGATGCTGGTGAAACCCTAGAATCTGGTTCTGCCCTAAACCTTGAGACAAGAGGTAGAGGTAATGACAGAAATTCAAGTCAGGGCAGATCAAAATCCAGAAATTCTAATCAGAACAGAAATAAATCTAGATCAGACCAACAAACAAAATATTGGAATTGTGGGAAAATCGGGTCATTTTAAGAGGCAATGCAAAAGTCTTAAGAAGAAGAATGAAGATGATTCTGCTAATGCTGTAACGGAAGAGGTACATGATGCATTACTTCTTGCAGTAGACAGTCCACTTGATGATTGAGTTTTGGACTCAGGAGCTTCGTTTCATACTACTCCACACCAAGAAATCATATAGAACTATGCTATAGGTGATTTTGGTAAGGTGTATTTGGATGATGGTATAGACTTGGATGTTATGGGTATGGGAAACATCCGAATATTATTGTCCAATGGGTCTGTTTGGTTACTGGAGAAGGTTCAACATATTCCTGACTTGAGGAGGAATCTGATTTCTATTGGACAACTTAATGATGAAGGACATGTTATACTGTTTGGTAGTGGTACTTGGAAGATCACAAAGGGAGCTAGAGTATTGGCTCGTGGAAAGAAGAATGGTACTCTATATATGAACTCGAGTCCAAGAAACACAATTGCAGTTGCTGAAGCAAGTACGGATACAATCTTATGGCACCGCAGACTTGGTCACATGAATGAGAAAGTGATGAAGATGCTGCTGTCAAAGGGGAAACTATCAAAATTAAAGTCTGTTGATTTTGACATGTGTGAAAGCAACATCTTAGGAAAGCAGAAAAAGTGAGTTTCTTGAAAACTGGTAGGACACGAAAGGCTGAAAAATTGGAGTTAGTACACACGGATTTGTGGGGACCTTCTCCGGTTGTATCCCTTGGGGGTTCAAGGTATTACATCACTTTTATTGATGACTCAAGTAGAAAGGTATGAGTTTATTTTTTGAAAAATAAATTTTATGTATTTGATACTTTTAAGAAGTGGAAGGCTTTGGTTGAGACAGAAACAGGTTTGAAAGTAAAATGTATGAAGTCAGACAATGGAGGAGAGTACATAGATGGAAGGTTCAGTGAGTATTGTGTTGCACATGGAATCAGGATGGAGAAAACCATTCTTGGGACACCACAACAAAATTGTGTGGCTGAGCGCATGAATAGAACTCTCAATGAGCGTGCAAGGAGTATGAGGTTGCATGCTGGACTACCAAAGACTTTCAGGGCTGATGTTGTTAGTATTGCAGCTTATTTGATAAACCAAGGGCCTTCAGTTTCCTTGGAGTTCAGACTTCGTGAAGAGGTATGGAGTAGTAAAGAAGTAAAGTTTTCTCCTTTAAAAGTTTTTGGTTTTGTTTCATATGTTCATATTGATTCTAATGCTTGTACTAAACTTGATGCAAAGTCTAAAATATGTTTTTTCATTGGTTATGGTGATGAGAAATTTGGCTATTGTTTTTGGGATGAACAAAACAGAAAAATCATCAGAAGTAAAAATGTGATATTTAATGAACAGGTTATGTACAAGGACAAGTCAATTGTAGTGTCAGATGTCACAGAGATAGATCAGAAGAAATCTGAGTTTGTCAACTTAGACGAATTGACTGAAATTACTATCCAGAAAGGGGGTGAAGAAGATAAGGAGAATGTAGAATCACAGGTAGATCAGACTACACATGTAGCTGATGTTCATAGATCTTCCAGGATCATTAGACCTCCACAATATTATTCACCCACTCTAAATTACCTCCTGTTGATTGATGGTGGTGAGCCAGAGTGTTATGATGAAGCCTTGTAGGATGAAAATTCAAGCAAGTGAGAGTTAGCCATGAAGGATGAGATGGAGTCCTTGTTGGGGAATCAAACATGGGAACTGACTGAATTGCCAGTAGGGAAGAAGGCTTTGCACAACAAGTAGGTATACAGAATTAAGAATGAGCATGATGGTAGCAAGAGGTATAAAGCCAGATTAATTGTCAAAGGGTTCCAACAGAAGAAGGGCATTGACTTCTCAAAAATATTTTCTCCAGTTGTGAAGATGTCAACAATTAGACTGGTATTGGGAATGGTGGCTGCAGAAAACCTATATCTTGAGCAGTTAGATGTGAAGACAACATTCTTTCATGGTGACTTGGAGGAAGACATTTACATGATTCAGCCAGAAGGGTTCATTGTTCAGAGACAACAGAATCTAGTCTGCAAACTGAGAAAGAGCTTGTATGGCCTAAAACAAGCTCCAAGACAGTGGTATAAGAAATTTAAAAGTTTTATACATAGAATTGGGTTCAAGAGATGTAAAGCTAATCATTGTTATTATTTTAAGTTCTTTGGCAATTCTTACATCATTTTACTATTATATGTGGATGATATGCTCATGGTAGGGTCTAGCATTTAGGTGATTAATAATCTAAAGAATCAATTGTCAAAATAGTTTTAAATGAAAGATTTGGGAGCTGCAAAGCAAATCCTTGGTATGAGAATCATTAGAGACAAAACTAATGGTACATTGAAGCTTTCACAGTCAGAGTATGTGAAGAAAATTCTCAGCAAGTTCAACATAAATGAAGCAAAACTAGTGAGTACACCCTTGGGTACTCACTTCAGGCTCAGAAAAGATCAGTCACCCAAGACAGATGATGAACATAACTACAAGGGTAAGGTTCCTTACGCTTTAGCTATTGGTTCACGTATGTATACTATGGTCTGCACAAGATCGAACATTGCCCATGCAGTGGGAGTTGTGAGTAGATACATGAGCAATTTAAGAAGACAATATTGGAAGGTTGTGAAGTGGATTCTAAGGTATCTGAAAGGTTCCTCAGAAGTATGTTTGTGTTTCACTAGAGATAGTTTGGAGTTACAGGGTTTTGTTGATGTCGACTTGGCCGGAGACACTGATAGTAGGAAGAGCACCACTGATTTTGTTTACACCTTGGGCAGTACTGTTGTGTCTTGAGGTTCTAACCTATAGAAGACAATATCCCTTTCTACTACAGAGGCCGAGTATGTTGTAGTGTCAGAGGCTTCAAAGGAGATGATTTGGTTACAGAGTTTCTTGGAAGAACTGGATAAAAAGAAATAGAAGGGTACTCTTTACAGTGATAGTCAGAGTGTCATGTTCCTCGCCAAGAATCTGACATTTCATTCTAGGACGAAGCACATTCAGATCAGGTATCATTTCTTACGGTCCTTGCTTGATGATGGTTAGTTGATACTTGAGAAGATCTGTGAAACTAAGAACTCAGCAGATATGTTGACTAAGGGTGTCACTATTTGAGAAGTTGAAGTTGTGTGCAGCTTCAGTTGGTTTTCTTGTTTAAGGACAGGAGTATGAGTTGCAGGGATGAGGGACTGTGTTTTTTGGAGGATTACAGTTGATGTTGATGATTGAACTAGTCTCCAAGTGGGAGATTTGTTGGGCTTTTGTGGAGTCTAATTTTTTCCGTTAATCCGGATGATGACCCGATCTGAAATAATGTTTCTTCTTGATAATAGTGAAATTCCTGCAGTTTCGTGGACGTAGGCAAATTGTCAAACCACATAAATACTGTTTGGTGCGTGTAATTATTTTTCTTCGGTGTGTGTTTTCTCTATTTTTGTTTCTTACAAGTTTGAGAATTTCGTGTGAATTTCCTAACGGTATGCTTCGATGGTAACAACCATTTTCTTCTTCTAGCTGGAAGATGCAAGAGTTGAGTGTGAGACCTCGGGAATTAATACGTGTAATACCCCAATTTGCCAGACCATACGTATAGTAGAATACATAACTCAAGAACGATGGAGCAATCAATAGAGCCAACGACCCAATGAACCCTATGGAATTGTACAATGTGATCAACTCTTGTTTCTTCAGTTGTAGGGTGCCACCGGGGGCGTGCAATGGTGCTCAACGATAGGCATAGGGTTGGGTTCTGGTTGCAACATAAGCTACATATTTTTAGTTTTACCATTATTTATTTTGTCCTATTTTCAAATTGATAAACCAAATTTAACCAAACAACAATAATACTAAACATGTTTCATTATAATCCACTTCCAAACATCCTAATCAAATTATTGAACTATTTCATATCCATTACCAAACAAGTTCCTTCATTTGTAAAATGCTTTTCACCCTTATTCTCAGCCAGAGAGCATCATCTCCCCCACCCACACTGTTGTCTCCTCTCTGTCTACCATCCACCACCATCGTCCCTCTTCTCTCCCACACGTGTGCGCACAGAGCCAGCTAGTTGAGATCCTCCTCTTCTACCATCTCTGCATTCTTTGACCTCGGTACACCACCTCAGAGCAAAACTATGCACCTTTAACCCACCACCAACTTCGGTTAGCAACAATTTTTTTTTTTTTTTGAAAAACAAATATTTTATTAAATGAAGCAAAGAATTACACGGATCAAAAGGGAAAGAAATCCCATTTTATAACACCAATTTAATGGCTTTAATCCTTCAAATCATGACTACATGGCAAGAACTTCTCCTTCAAACCTGCCTACATAACAAACCGAAACAAAAAATTACAAAGACATATCTACAGTTTCCAAAGAATGAGAAATAATCAAAGAATTTTTGACTTTTAAAACTGATATCTTTGATCTTGCACCACCAATACCTCACCATGCTTGGCATCGAACCCACAACAGAAAAAAATAGTAGATGCCCTCGCCTATACTGCCTGTTTTGATAGAAAATCAGCCACATCATTTGCTTCTCTAAAAATATGAAAAATCTGAAAATCAACACCTTGCAGCAAAGCAAAAATTTTAGACAGTATACCAGACAAGCTCCATGGAATCTCAATCCTTCCCAACACCATTTGTACCAGAATCTGAGAATCAGATTCAATTAGCAACTTATAACCCTCCAAACCAAAACTTCGATACATTCTGAGCCCATCCAGCAAAGCCATACCTTCACCTCTCATGTTCAAGCCCTCCCCATAGAAGCAATCACCTGCTAAAACAAAAATCCCTTCTTGATTCCTTACCACCACTCCCCCTCCAGAAAAAACCTGGGTTCCCTTAGCAGCCTCATCCACGTTAAGTTTCAGAACCCCCTGTGGAGGATGAGACCAAGCAACCCAAATGACCTTAGAAAAGACAGCAGTAAACACCTGCACCTTTAAAGTCTACAACATCTCCCTACCTCTCCTTCCCTCCCTTCTCTTTGGCTTCACACAAAAAGTGTGACATTGAAGACATACCAGAATCTACAAATAAACAGAATAGGAAGACAAACTTACCTCTTCATGCCTCCTCTTACATCTTTCCTTCCAGATAAACCAAAAAACCAACAAAGGCACACCTCTCACCAAACCATTACTCAGAGACTGCTTATGAAAAATCCTAGCAATCCTCTTTTGTCTAACCATAGGAGACTTTCAATTAGCAACTATGGAGGAAGACTTGAGGCTGAGAAGATGGGTGCATTTCGAATGGTAATAACCATTTTGCAATGGAAGAAGAGAGAACTGTTATTTCACTACGGCCCTTCAGGGTTACACATATGAGAGAGTAAAACATCAGACCTCAGGAATTAATACTAGAAACACAACGTGTTGGAAAAAAATTTGGATGCAAATAAAGTGAACGGCAGGGTGAGGCGCAGATTAGGTCACTCTCTTAAGACGATTCGCGTTCTTTTATGAAAGAATCACAGTGCAGAAGCGTCCCTTTATGAAAGAATCACAGTGTAGAAGGTAGTAGCGCGTCGTCCTCAAGATAACAGTCCAGCCAATTGACTGTTGCTTCACTCAGATCTGCTCAATCGAATGAAGCAGAAGCCCAAGATAACAGTCCAGCCAATTGACTGTTGCTTCACTCAGATCTGCACAATCGAATGAAGCAGAAGCTTCACACACACCTTTGAATCCCCAAGATAGTCTCTGTTGCTTCACTCAGATCTGCACAATCGAATGAAACAGAAGCTTCACACACACCTTTGAATCCCCACACACCTTTGAATCCCCAACACACACCTTTGAATCCCCAAGATAGTCTCTGTTACTTCACTCAGATCTGCACAATCGAATGAAACAGAAGCTTCACACACACCTTTGAATCCCCAAGATAACAGCCCAACCAATTGACTGATATGATATATTCAATCCGTATCTCTTCTGCTAGTCTCACCCCTGCGCACGTGAGAGTTCTAAGACCTCTCTTTGATTCAAAGATTAAATAACACTAGTACATATATATACTCAAGTATCTTAGAATGTTTAGTCGATATGGGATTGAGTTCCCATATAAAAATACTCTTTTAATTAAAATATTCTAACACAACAATTTTATATGAGAATTCCTTGATGTGGTTCGATTTTAGAGAGAAAGTATGAGATGTCATTTTGACTCTCGTTAAATGGTGCAATGAGACGATCGCATTTTTCTTGTGCAAGGTGTTTAATTATGGTTCTTTTTTATTGAAATTAACCTGATATAATGCTGAAAGATTTGCCTCAAGCTCATGGCAATCATCATTCAAATCAAAGTTACACTGGTTTATATTTTATGCCCATGGCTGATCGTCACTTCTGAACTGATATAGCTGGCAACGTCGCTTCCTTGCCAGCAGAATTTGCAACCTGGCCCTTTCGTCAAGTCGGAGTGCTTCTTTCAACCATTTACATACTCTGGATGCCATGAAAAAACTCCCCAAATTGGTGGAAAACCTAGAGGCTGAAAAGAACAGCTTTGGAGAAATACAATCTTGAATCCAATCCTGGGCTCTGACAATCTCTTTTTTAAATTGCTCCTAAGCTGCAGCAAAGGGAATTCGAGCTCCACCATTCTTTTTGATTCATTGCATTCCAATTTTGTCTTGAGGACAGCGGAATTCTGCTCAATATTGTAAAACCTGGGGGTGGGGAATGGTGGTGTTTCATATCCTTTCCCCTCGTAACATAAAGGGATCTTGAGAATTCATTCCCATTCAAAACTTCTCGAGATTCTTGAAAACAACATCGTTTTGGAAGGAACTTATCTTGTTAATATAACACAGAATGTATGTTTCTGATGGTAATAACCATTTTTGTTATGGAATATGAGAGAAGTGTCATTTCATTAAGGCCCTATGGGGTCACACACATCATGAGAGAGTTGAATATGGGACCACGGGAATTAATACCAGTAACACAACAATTTTATAGACGATTAGAGAGAATAAAATACATAAGGGTTCTCAGTATCAAGCATAAGAAGTGCATGATCCTGCCACAACTATTTATACAGGTACATTATCTAAAGACTTTTTTAAACAAAAGCAATCCAAAATGGGGCTTCTTCATTACAGATATCAATTAGGTGGAGAGAACTTCATATGGGGAAATTATCCATGCATGTCAATATGAGATCATATACGAGGCCTTTGTTGTCCAAGGCCAAAGAGCTTTCCTGCCGCTGCCAAAAGTAAAAGGGGAATTGCTAGGAAGAGCAGAATCCAGGCTTCACTGGGCGACATCAAAATTATGCAGCACATGTAGGATCCAAACAGCATTGATACCGAGATTTGCGACCATGGTTTGAATGGGAATTCACGGAGGAGGGACATAACCGCAGCCAACGACCCAACAAACCCTATGGAATTGAGCAATATGAATGACTGAGTTATAACCGACTCCTGTTTCTTCAGTTGGAGGGTGCCATCTAAAGTGGTGCTGTGGAAGTAGCCGCCATTCAAAATGCCATTGAGGGTGTGATATGCAGCTTGGTAGGCTACTATTGCTACAAGGGTGGCCATCAACAACACCGCCATATGACTACCAATGAGAGGAATGATGGTATTCGCATCTGTTTTCTTGAACCTTTTTTTCTTGAACCATTTTCTCGTGTCATCATGAGCAGAATACTGGTAGGTATCACGTTTGGCAAGACCTCTGGCTCTCAAGGCTCCAGCTTGACCAAGGATCCTGCCAATTTCCACATCAATCATCCGATCATATGGTAGGACATCTAGGATGTCCAGAGCCGTGAAACCACCAGAACTCATTGCATTCACATCTACCACATTGCAAGAAAGTAAAACTTCTAAAATCTGCAAGAAAAATGAAGTGCACCAACATAAGTCCGGTTACTGCAACAAGAGCACAATACCACAGAATGACATTTTCCAATGGTCTACTGATCATGGGCAAATGCCAGAATATGATAATTAATGTAATAACAACGTAAAATAAAAAATATCCCACATATATAAAACTGCAAAGAAACATGAAACCCACTTATGATCTTTATTCTACTTGTGGTTCTCCATATGCTAATCAAGCTTCTTTACTCAGAATCTACGATCATAGTTGAGCAAATTCAGATTCCAAAAAGGTTTTCATAGTAAACAGTGGTTAATTCTAATTTCACAGAAGAGATAGTACTGCAAATCTATTTTGCTAGTGGGGAAGATTGGGAACGATGTACGTCATAGAATCAGAGCCGATTCCCTTAAGCGGAGAAAAACCTTTGACATATTATGTGTTAGAAGGATAATAAAATTGAAATGCAAGTTTTACCATGCAGCTATAATATTGTATGGGACAGAATGTTGGATAACTAGGAAACATCATATTGACAAAATGAGGGTACCAGAAATAAGAACATTAAAGTGGATGTATAGAAAAAAAAATAATAAAATATAAAATGACCGTATTAGAGAAATAATAAGAATAGCCCTAAGGACAAGTTGTGAGACATTAAATTAAGATAATTTGTTCATGTTCTCGCCGTTTAAAAAAAGTGACATAATTTCTCTTAAGGATACTAAAAATAGAAATAGAAATAGGGATAAACCCAAATTTTCATTGACCATAATAATAAGAAAATATATGAAAATATGAAACTTAAATGAGCATGAATGGTGAAAACAGATTCATATACTCAACTACAAATGATTGGGAAATAAGCCTTAGCTTTATTTGGAAGATTGGGAACAAATTAGAGACCAAAAGAAGGCTTGCAAAATATACTCCACAATCGAGTAATTAGTAAATACTTGGTCGCCCCTGAAATTTCTTCTCCTAAGATGTGCAATATGCTGTCAAACAGAGCTTAATTCCCCCTAAAATGTGTTTCGTTTTCAAGAGGAGGAAGATGATTTTAGTATCCTTCAACAAAGAATAAAAGGGAATTGGGGAAAAAAAAAAAACCTTTCCTTGATTTGTTTTCTTGAAACGGCAAGATGAAGAGGTGTCTTTCCATCGGAATCCTTCCCATCAATCAAATGGTCGTAATCTCTATTTTTAGCAAGCCAATCCACCAAGAACCGTACTGCTCTTTCTTGATTATACAAAACGGCGATGTGAAGACAATTCTCGCCTCTTTGGTTCACCAATTCCACTTCCTCAGGGCTTGCATCGAGGATTTCCTTCATAACCCCGACTCTGCCTCTCCTCGCAGCAACATGGAGAGATATCCCGTAGAGCTCGCCCAGTCCGAAAAATAATGATAAGGGCAAGCCGTAGCCGCGAAAACAAGCATGAGATTTAATTCCAACGATCTTGCAAACCTCTTCCTCCAGTTCTGGTGGTTGATATCCATAACTTACTTCCTCCGTGAAAAGTCGGTGCAAACGAAAATCGATCGTATTAAAGATTGAGATCTCCACCGATTCATCGACATCCACTGGGGAAGACATGATTACTAAAAAATCGAAGTCTGGAACAACACACCAACAACAGAAAAGTACAACAAATTTATCACAAAAATCAAAACAATTAACCCTTGACGGAGCGGAACGGTGTGAACGCGAAAGTCTAAATGGATCCAAACCTTAGAAAACGTAAAAGCTTCAGTGGAAACTTCAACTACACCCACGACTATTCCGCGTAAAACGTTGTTGCAGTTGGGCCAGTTTGACTTTGTGCTGCCTCATTGTTGACTTTCTTCTTTCCTTAAAACACTTAAGCACCCTGTGAATGTTGATAATTCCAGGAAATATCTTGTAGTTTTCGAAATTACACTAACCTTCTATTTGTTTTTGTCAAATATATGCAATGAAAACGGAGACGGCACAATTCACGTATTACCCGTTCCAAGAATGATATGTCAGTTCTCTCTCGGTCTCCCTCTACTACTAGATTCCGTGGTACATGCGATGAGTCTACACCTTAACAAAAATATTGCACAACTTAAATAAAATTTAAAAAATATAAAAAATTAATAAAACCTACTCGTCCAAGGAATTGCCATTTTTTAAATTTTATTTGAAATGTATAACATTAGTCACAAATTAATTTGTGTTTGACGTTTTTTGAAAAAAATATTGGTAGAGAAAGACGATTAAGGAAAGAGGGACCATGGAGGAGACGACATCTTCTTCGCTCTCCCTCTCTTTCTCTGTTCTCTTTATTTTCACTAAAAACTGGAACGGTAGATCATTTGACCCCGTTTGGCATCTCTAAAGGCCAAATTTTCTGTTGCTCAAGATCCCGTTTGAGATTGATCTCTTTTTGTTCTCACTTTAGATCTCTGTCAATATCTCCATTGAGATGCAGATTCAGGGAGCAATCCATTTGTCGGTAATTTTAATTCGGACAATGAAATATCTATTTTCAATTTTCAATTTATTTCTTTATCCAATTCATAGTCTAATATGTCTAGACAGTGAAATTGTATAGTGAAATATGATCAGTTTCGCTGCCAGATTTATTTAACTGTCCAAAATGATTAGTTTGGGAGTATTTAACGTTCTTAGACAAAGGGATACACCCCTCCCAAATCACTGTCCAAACAACTGGGTCATGTTTGGTTTGCGTTCTGAAAATAATTTTTTATTCTCAAAATTTTAAAAATATCTAAAATCTATTTGTTTAGTATATTTTTCTTTAAATTTTGAGAAAAAAAATGAGATTTGAGTTAAAGAAAAAGAAAATAAGTGTAGTTTGTTTTCAAAGTTTTCTTAGAAAATTTTGGAAATAAGGAGAATAATTTTGGATCTTTAAATATATATATATATATATTGTTCTCTATATTTTGGGAAAAAATGAGATTTGAGTTAAAGAAACAAAAAATAAGTGTAGCTTGTTTTCAGAGTTTTCTTAGAAAATTTTGGAAATAAGGAGTATAATTTTTGATCTTTAGATATATATATATATTTGTTCTCTATATAAAAAAATAGATTTATAATATGTATAGAGTATTTTATATATATCTTTATATATATATATATATATAAAATATATATATATATATATTATGAAATTGTCTATATAAAAATAATTTTTTTATTAATGTTTAAATTACTGTTCAAATATATATTTAGGCTGTCAAAACAAATTTTATTATTTTTTTTATTGTAAAATTATTTAATCAAACAAGTTTTTTATCTCAAAAAATATAAAAATTAAACTCTTGTCAAAAATTATTTTCAAACATTTTTTTTGAAACGCAAACCAAAGAGGCTTCTAGTTTCTCTGTCTTGCTTATTACGGGCGGAAGGTTTAGTAGAGTTAAAAAATGAGGTACAATCAACCTTATTAAATCTTGCTCTGTTTGGGGTAGAGTTCTAGCAAAACAGGGTGCACAAATTTTGGCTAAAAAACTAAAAAGAGCAAGGCATAGGTTTCTTCCAAATCAAAAAAAAAAAAATAGTTTCTTCCAAAAGCTCATATGCTTGTACACTGATAATTTTGGTAGGGAAAATTTCAGTAGACTTCCTCGCCCATACTGCAAAAAGTTTCATATATTGGTAAAAGGTTTAAGAAGCACCTGTTTACTTGAACATTACCCCCACCCAGCTTGCTCCGAATAGCTGGAGGTTGTTGGTGTTCCTTGGGCCAAAGCCAATGGCGTTGGTGCTCAACCTACCCTTGCCGAGCTCCTACACTGCTACAAGCTTATTCGGTGGAAGACTGATCTATTCACCGGCTACTCCACCAACGTAAGAGTGGAATGACAAATTTTTCTTTATCTCTGGGCCTAGATAGAGTTTGTCCCTTCAGAGAGCATTCCTAGTTGACGGTCTCCTTCATCCACTCTTAAGTAAAGAGTCCTTTGTTTTTCTTTTTTTTTTTTTTTTGCTCTCTCCTTTTTACTCACAATTATTTCTTTTGTGGAGGTAACATTAGCCCCTTGCAATCCGAAAAGCAGAGAGTGGAGAGAGCTACTTCTTACTCTACCAAATATAAAAAAGGACAAAAAAATAAAATACTAATTATACATGGTGTAAAACCAAGAAGAATAATTGCGCAATATATACCATAAGTAATGCTTTGTATTCAAAATGCAATCCATATCCTAGACCACGTGGGTAACAAAATACATAACCGAAAACATAATCTTAGGAAGAATTGAGCATTCCAGCGCTCGTAATTATTATAATACATAATTTTAGTATCTTCTTAACAAAAGAAGACAAATTCCACTTACTATACTAGTGAAACTGAATATGGGGTCCTCTAATATGACCTAATTATCCATGCACGTCCCTGACTACATCAAGCAGTGTCGATAATTTCTGTATGAAGAAGATAGCCATTGCCAATGACCCAACGAACCCCATGGTGTTGAAAAACATGAATTGAGTTATGATCCACTCTTGTACCTTGAGGTTGCCACCTCCCTCGTTGAAAGTGATACCAGAGGCGATGAAAGCAGGTTGGCAGGCTGTTGTCATTACCAGGGTAGCCATCAGCAACAACATAACATCAAGCAGTGTCGATAATTTCTGTATGATGAAGATAGCCACTGCCAATGACCCAACGAACCCCATGGTGTTGAAAAACATGAATTGAGTTATGATCCACTTTTGTACGTTGAGGTTGCCACCTCCCTCGTTGAAAGTGATACCAGCGGTGATAGAAGCAGATCGGTAGGTTATTGTCATTACCAGGGTGGCCATCAGCAGCAACAACATCTTAAACCACTTTATTTTGTAACCATGATCAGCACAGCTATTGGTATCACGATTGGCAAGATCTCTGGCTCTCAAGGCTCCAGCTTGACAGAGGATCTTGTCAATTTTCACATCAATCTTCCCAGTATATGGAAGGACACTTAGGATGTCCAGAGCGGTGAAACCGCCACAATTCGTGGCATTCACATCAACCACATTGCAAGTGAGTAAAGCTTCTAAAGTCTGCAAGAAAAATGGAAGTGTGCAAACATAAGTATAGTTACTATAACAAGAGCCCAACAACACAATAATCTTCAATTATTTTACAAAGCAAATCATCAATCCTACAAAGTAAAATTAATGCGATTACATGTATTCAGCTGCAAAGAAACATGGAATAAATATATAATCTTGTCTCAAATTGTAGTTCTCTCCTCCTCTCACTACTTGTAGAATTCCAGAAAAGATGTTCATCAGCATCATCACACTTGTAAAACCAACAATTACAGAACATGCGGCAATCTATAAGAGGAAAGCAAGACTTTTAAATGGTTTAGTATTATCACTCAATACATTAAGAACCTGGCAGTTTGAACTGAAGAGCTAATGCATAAAAAATAAACAAACTCCAAAGTTGATGTTTATATCTTGGTGAAGTCATAGCAGAGCAAATTCAGATGAATACAAAGTTTTCATAACATAAAAAAGTTGTCTGATTCTAATTTGACAGAAGAAACAGCACTGCAAATCGTAATTTTTGTTTTTTGTTTTTTTTATTTTTTTGCTACAGGTGGTCAGGCTGTTGAGCTGGGTTACAGCATCTCTCTAAAGGGAATGGGAATGAATTAAACCTGATACCTCTAGTTACCGATGGACATGCTCAACTACTGAGATTAGCAACAAATCAGAAAGAAAATAAGTGATTGAGATAGCTTATACTAAAATTTGCCATATTCAATCAAAACAGACGCTAATTTTTCCTTTAATTTAATCAAAGTCGATGATTTATTACCTGGATTTGTTTTCTTGAAACGGCAAGATGAAAAGGTGTATTTCCTTTGTAATCCCTGTCGTTAATTAGATGGGCGTAGTCTCTGTTTCTGGCAAGCCAATCCACTAAGAACCGCACCGCAACTACTTGATTATTCAAAACGGCGGAGTGAAGACAATTCTCGCCTGTTTTGGTCACCGATTTCACTGACTCAGGGCTTGCATCGAGGGTTTTCTTCATAATATCGACTTCGCCTTTCCCCGCCGCAGCATGGAGAGACGTCCCGCCTCCGTGCTTGTGCATTCCGAGAAATGCGTTTTCGTCTGTTTCTACTACGGTGTTCATAGAGTCGTTGATGGAACTGAATCCCAAATCCTTTGATTTTTGCAGATATGGACCCAAGTGCTTTGCTAGTTGCTGATATGCTTTCAAGGCTTCTGCTTCCGCTCCTGAAGATGAGATCTCCGGCGGCGATTGACCCGACATCGACAGGGTAAGAAATAATTTCTCAAAAATTGGAGTCTGTGAACAACACAAGTTCAACAAATTCTCAGTTCGTCGGAACAACAATCAAAACAATAGAGCCTTCGCAGAGAGGAACAGTGTGAACGCAAAAGTCTAAATGGATCCAAACCCAAGAAACTGTGAATGTGAATGCAAAAATGGATCCAAACCCTAGAAACTGCGAATGCAAAAGTCTAAATGGATCCAAACCAAGAACCTGTAAAATCTGTGGAAACTTCTTCGACTTCCCCTTCACCTTCACCTACCATTAGTCCGCGTAATGCAGAGGAAAAATTATACTTTTATCCCTAAACTATTACTTGTTTTGGGCTAATCTCAACTTGTGCTCCATAAAATCACTTGAATCTCAATTTATACTATTAAAGTTTAAAAATATCAATGTATACCCTAAATAATATAAATTTGTATCAATGTGCACCTGAGATTAACTTTCATCCATTTTGTCATTAAAAAAGTTTGGACTAATAATAAATTGCACTCTTAAAGTTTAAATATTTCATATTTATGATCCAAATTTTTTTTTTATTAATGCTTGTTAAATAGCCCTCAATTGTATCGTGTCATGTTCGAGTCAATAAAAAAATATTTTTTAAATTAAAAAAATTATAAAATGCCTATTTTTTTCTTAAATATTTGTTAAATAGTTATTTTCTGTCTATAGTTAGACACGAATCTTTTGATTGTTCGATCAAATTAAAATTAAATATTAATAACACAACTGCAAACAAAAAATAACTATTTAATGAGTATTGTAGGCAAAAAATGGATATTTTTATAATTGTTAAAAAAATATTAAATAGTACTATATAAATTGTCATAAATATGAAATATACGACACAACAAAATTAACTCGATACGAAAATATTTTGTTTTAAAAATATTTTTGTATCGACTCGAACATAACACGAAAATGATACGACATTACAGAAAATAATATGATATGTCATAATTAAGAGGTATTCAACAAATATTAATAGATGAAATTCCTTTTTAATCATAAATATAAAATATTTAAACTTTAAAGGTGCAATTTATAATTATCCCACACTTTTTTAACCGCAAAATGGATGACAATTAACCTCTGGTACATATTAATACAAATTTATGTCTATTATGGTATAAATTAATATTTTTAAATTTTAAGGGTATAAATTAAGATTTGAGTGATCTTTTAAGATACAAATTGAGATTAACCTACGTACTACCGTTTTAACTATGACATTTTTTTATTATTTTCTCAATTAATTATATTTTTAATTTTATATCATCCTCTTTACAGACCTAACAAAACTTATTTCAATTTGTCCTTGAATCATGTAATTTTTTTTATTTTACTCCCACATGTTTGCATCTAAAATAGTTTTAAATAATCAAAATACATACAGATTTTCTAAGGTTTATACATGTATAACACTTAAATTTTTATCTTCAATGTCCATTACACCTAGACCTTCTATAATTTGTAGACATATAATACTTAGATTCTTCAAGTTTAAAATGTTATACTTAAATAAAAAAAATATTTCAATTAAAGATAAAGTATTAAATATTTTAAATTCGACAACCAAAAAACATGTTTTATTATATCATTTATTAAAATAAAATTAAAAATCAAATTTTTTCTTAAAAAATAGTAATTAGTATACAATTTTATTATTTATTGGAATCAAACTAAAAAAAATCAAATAAGAGGTTTAAGTCATTTATAATAGAACATGAATTTTAAAACCAAAATTTATATTTTATTTATTTATTGAAATAAAATAAAAAATAAAAATCTATGTTTTTCTTAAAAAATTATAATTTGCTTATAATTATACTATTTATTTGAATAAAACTAAAAAATCAAACAAATAATCAAACTGTAATTGATATAATATTTTTTAGTTTTTATTGGGGTAATTTAGTAGTTTAATTTGGTCATTTAAATTCTAATAGATGGTATAATTTGGTTAAATTAAATTCCAATAGATAATATAATTGTATATTGATTATGATTTTTTAAGAAAAATTAATTTTTTTTAAATTTTATTTTAATAAATGACATAATAGAATATGAATTTTGATTGTAAAATTTAAAATATTTAATATTTTATCTTTAATTGAAGTATTTTTAATTTAAATATAATATTTTACTTTTGAAGGGTCTAAATATTATACTTATAAATTTTAAAAAGTTTAAATATAATTTATTAACGGATAAGGGGTACAAATTTGTGGGTAATATTTTTAACGGTTTAAGTGAATGAATGACAACGAGACGCGAGTAAGTGTAATTCTCCATAACAAAAAAAATTCAAAGAATCCCCGTCAAAGTCGACCCAATTAAACTTGGGGTATCCTTTACTTCCTTCTTGTTCATCACGCTGTAGTAACACGGATACGGTTTAAGTATTTTTCTTTGGGCTAAATTAAACACTTACCCACCCTACAATTGTTGATAATTCTAAGAGAGATCTTGTAGTTCATGTAATTATCCCGACAGTCTGTTAGTTTTTGTCAACTACCGTCAGTGGATACGGAAACAGCACAATTGACGTAATTGCCTGTTTCAAAATGTTATATACCATACGTTTGGATACCCGGAGTAGATGGCATAAGATATCAAAAAGATAATCTCGTCCATCCAAAACGAACCTGGCCCAACTCACATCTAGATTGAACATGTATCCATGCCGATATTTGGTAAAATAATTTTACATTTCTGTGGGATCCACTGACAAAGGTGATTGAATATGTATATACCAGGGCTCTCTCTCCTCGAGAAAATATTCATAAAGTGATATTATTTTACGATGTTGACATAATATCATCAATTAATAAAATAAATAAATAAATAGATCTTATTAAAATTAATAAACAATCCTCCATATAAGCAAACAGGGACGAAGCCATAAAAAAAAATTTAGAGTGGGCACATTAGTACATTNTTTAAACACTTACCCACCCTACAATTGTTGATAATTCTAAGAGAGATCTTGTAGTTCATGTAATTATCCCGACATTCTGTTAGTTTTTGTCAACTACCGTCAGTGGATACGGAAACAGCACAATTGACGTAATTGCCTGTTTCAAAATGTTATATACCATACGTTTGGATACCCGGAGTAGATGGCATAAGATATCAAAAAGATAATCTCGTCCATCCAAAACGAACCTGGCCCAACTCACATCTAGATTGAATATGTATCCATGCCGATATTTGGTAAAATAATTTTACATTTCTGTGGGATCCACTGACAAAGGCGATTGAATATGTATATACCAGGGCTCTCTCTCCTCGAGAAAATATTCATAAAGTGATATTATTTAACAATGATGACATAATATCATCAATTAATAAAATAAATAAATAAATAGATCCTACTAAAATTAAGCAAACAGGGACGAAGCCATAAAAAAAAATTTAGAGTGGGCACATTAGTACATTTTAATTTTTTTTAATTGACCATAAAAGTTTATATATTCATATTTACTAATATTATATTTAATATTTAAAAGTTCAGTAAACATAGAAGATTAAAAATCTATATGCATAACATGAATAAAAAATATAATTAAAACTTCTTGTAAAAAATGTGACTATTTATTATCACTTACAATTGACTCTAGTATGTTTTTATTATTTGAAAGAGTTATAAATCAATTTTATCAATAATATTTCTTTTATACATAAAATTATGGTAACAATCTTTCATTTATAATCTTATAATTTACTACATAACAACACACATTTTTAAATAATAACGAAATAACCCTACAATTTTAAAAAAATTATAAAATAACCTCAATATGTTCAAAAAATATTCGGACATGTCTAAAACGTGTCTAAAAATAAACAATAATATTAGTTGCATCTAATTAAGATTTAATTGATGGAGACCCAATGACTCAAGATCATTGGATATATAGTAAAATTTATTAAATATTAAGACTCATTATTAGACTTAATATCACAATATATTAAGTCCTTAAATTAGATCTCAATAATATTATTCGAAAATTTAGCAATCATATAGTTAGGGATCTATTCAAATAGATACCACTAGAATATAATATTATGGTGAACACAATTAAGTTTAAATTTTATTTTAAAAAATGCATGTCCAATGAGAAAGAAAAAAATTTTGAGGAGGGCATGTGCCTACCCTACCCCAATGGTGGCTCCACCCCTATAAGCAAATAATTACTTACCATTTCTCTATGCAAACAAATAACTATTCAATTGTTTCCATCCTGATGCAATTCAACCCTGAAATCTGGTAGATATGGTACCTAAGGCTTGGTCCATATATCAATTGATTTACCATCACCCACAATGTGACATGCACCTTTGATGATTAGTGGCCTACAGTCAGGGAACTGCTTCCAAATTAATGAGTCACTTGGGTGTTTTTGTACATGAAGAAATCCATACCTGGAACAATACTTTTTTAAAAGCTGTGCAGTCCAGAGTTTGATATTGTTTGAAAGGAATTGCCGACCAGTTTTGCCATAGTGTGATTGATTAATGTCCTGCATCTTTCTAAAACCCAGACCTCCAATTGATTTCGGCCTACATATGAAATCTCATGATTTGACTCTCATAGCTTGCCTCTCCTCAGTTGATCCCCACCAAAAATTTCGAATTTTACTATCCAACTTATTACAGATTGTCTTTGGGAGTAATGTGGATTGCATTGCATAATTGGCATTGCCATTGTAGTAGATTTTATCACTGTGGCTCTCCCAGCATATGAGAGCAATTTTGTCTTCCAACCTTGCAACTTCGAATCAAGCTTTTGTAAGATCGATTGAAAATCTCTTGTGGGTGATCTACTTCTCTTCAGTGGCAATCCAAGGCATAAAGTTGTGGGAGGTCTTCTCTTCAATCCCAAGAGATGTTTAACTGATTTTACCAGGTCTCTTGGAACATTAGAGCTGTAATATGCATGAGATTTTTCTCTGTTGATTTCCTGGCCTGACCATTCTGCATAGGTGGAGAGGCNATGACCAGGTCTCTTGGAACATTAGAGCTGTAATATACATGAGATTTTTCTCTGTTGATTTCCTGGCCTGACCATTCTGCATAGGTGGAGAGGCAATTCTGGATGCTCCTAGCTTCTGTGGGATTTGCTCTTCCGAAAATGAGAAGATTGTTTGCGAACATGAGATAAGTGATAGGGCTGCAATTTTTGGTTAGTTTAAGCCTTTGAGTTTTCCCTGGAATGCATCCCTCTG